TTCCTTCTCATACCCACCCACCTCCCTTATTCCTTCTCTTTCTCCTTCCTCCTTATCCCTGCCTTCCTTCTTTTCTCCTCCCTCTCCTCCTCTCCTCCCCATCTCCCTTACTTTGTCCTTCCTTCTCCTTTTTCTTACTCTCTCCCTCTCTCCTTCCTTCCTTTCCCCCTCCCTGCCTTTATTCCCTTCTCATTCCCTCCCTCCCTCCTTCCTTCCTTTGTTCTACTCCCTCCCTCTCATTCCTACCTCCCTTACTGTCCTTCCTTCTCTTTTTTTTCCTTACTCTCCCTCTCTCCTTCCTTCCTGTCTTCTTCTCCCTCCCTCCATCCCTTTCTTCTTTCTCCTTCCCCCTTCCTTCCTTCCTTCCTTCCTTCCTTCCTTCCTTCCTTCCTTCCTTCCTTCCTTCCTTCCTTCCTTCCCCCTCTCTTCTCTCCTCCCTCCCTCCCTCTCATTCCCATCACCCTTACTCTATCCTTCCTTCTCCTCTATCCTTCCTTCCTTCTCATTCCCTTCTCTCTCCCTCCTTCCTCCCTCCCCTCTTCTGTCCTCCCTCCCCTTCCCTTCTTTCTCCTTCCCCCTTCCTTCCTTCCTTCCTTCCTTCCACCTCTCTTCTCTCCTCCCTCCCTCCCTCTCATTCCCATCACCCTTACTCTATCCTTCCTTCTCCTCTATCCTTCCTTTTTTCTCATTCCCACCTCCTTCCTTCCTTCCTTCCTTCCTTCCTTCCTTCTTCCCTCCCTCCCTCCCTCCTTCCCAAACAGCATTTCAGAAGCTGGTGTCCACCCTGCTGCCCGTCTACGTGAAGGGGGCAAAGGAGGACCACGAGCGCGAAGTGGTCATGGCCATCCTGGAGGTCCTGGCCAAAGTGGTGAAGGAGTGCAAAGGGGATGTCCTGCACGAGCCGGCCCAACTGACCAACCTCTGCAGGCTGGTGCGGGAGCTGCTGGAACAGAAAGTGAGCCTTCCTCCGCTTCCTCTTCCCCTCCCCCCCACTTCCTCCACTTCATTACGGATACTCCTCGACTTACAGCCTTCCCTTCAGTGACCGCTCAAAGTTACGGCCATTTTTTTTTCACCCTCCCGGTGTTCACGCGATCGAAGTTTCAGGCGCTTGGCAGCCCGACTCGTACTTAACGACGGCCGCGGCATCCACGCCATCCCCCTAATGCGATCTCCTGGCAAGCGGGGTCAAGTGGGGAAGCCGGATTCGCTTAATGACCGCACGAGTCACTGGACGCTTAACAACGCTGGCCGAAGCCCCCCAAATGGGCCTAAACTCACCCAGTTGGCCTCGCTTAGCAACAGTTGGCATCTTTGTGGGCGTCTTTGTGGGCGAGCAAAACTGATTCGGCATGTAAAAAAGTGAATTTTCGCTCTCCTTCCTCTCTGTAGGTAACCTGTCAGGACGACGAGGACGATGAAGATGATGATGATGACGAAGTAAGATTGGAAATATACCCTTCAGATCCCATTTAACAATGTCGACGTTCATTTAACGACGGCAGCGTTCATTTTGCAAGCCTCCATGTTAAGCAATATACTGTATATACCGCGTTTCCCCGAAAATAAGACCCTGCCATAATTTTTTTTTAACCACCCGAAAAAAGGCACCGGGGCTTATTTTCGGGGGATGTCCTCCACTGACTGACCTCGCTTGAACGTATCGCTCCCTTTTCGCCGTCAGAGGCCTTCGGGGACTACTACTTCTTCTTCTGCAGCCGGCAAGGCTTCCCCGAAGGCCTCTGCAGCCGATAACGGAGCTCTGGATCGATCCTGAGCTTTGTTATCAGCTCCGGAGGCCTTCAGGAAAGCCTTGACGGCTGCCGAAGAAATGGGCCGGTGAGGCAGGTGTCGGGGTGTGCGAGGCCTGGCTACACCTGCCCAAAGGTGAGTAGTAGAGTAGCTCCACCACCACCCCCGCATCCCCCACCCTAGCTTAGGGTTTGAGATCTCCCGTCTTGGGCCTCCGGTGGAGGTGAGGGAGAAGTGGGGTCCTGGGTTCGAGGAACGCCAAAAACCTCATCTCTCTCTCTCTCTCTCTCTCTCTCTCCAGCAGGCAGAATACGACTGCATGCTGATTGAGTACGCCGGGGAATTGATCCCAGTCCTCGCTGAAGTGACCGGGGGGGACGTCTTTGCCCCCTACTTCGCCGGCCTCTTGCCGCTACTCCTGAGCAAGATGGTGAGCTATTTCTTTTCCTTTTTTTAAGGTCCTCAATCGGTTTGCCTTCCTTCCCCCGGAGTCATTCTCTGACATGACCGTCCACTGGTGGAAATGGGGGCCTTGTTTCCTTCTTCCCTTCCTCCCTCCTTCCCTTTATATCTTCCTTCTTTTTCCTTCCCTCTTCCCTCCCTCTCTCCCTCTTTTATATCTACCTGTGTTTTCCTTCCCTCCTTCTTTCATCCACCATCTTTTATATATCTTCTTTTTTTCTTCCCTCTTTCCTTCCTTCCTTCCTTCTTCCTTCCCGCCCTCTTTTATGTCTCCCGTCTTTTTCCTTCCTGCTTTCTTTGCTTTCTTCTTCCTTCCTCCCTCCGTTCCTTCCTCCCTTCCTCTTTCCTTGTTTCCTTCCTCCCTCTTTTCTAACTTCCTTCTTTCTCCTTCCTTCCCTCTTTCCTTCCTCCCTCCCTTCCTTTTCTTTCCTATCTCCTTCCTTCTCCTTCCTATCTCCTTCCTTCCTTCCTCTTCCTTCCCATTCCTATCTCCTTCCTTCATTCTCCTCATTCCTATTCCTTCTTTCCTTCCTTCCCCTCATTCCTATTCCTTCTTTCCTTCCTTCCCCTCCTTCCTTCCTTCTTTCCTTCCTTCCTTCTAATTCCTATCTCCTTTCCTTCCTTCCTTCCTTCCCTCCCTCTTTTATGTCCTTTCTTTTTCCTTCCCGCTTTCTTTGCTTTCTTCTTCCTTCCTCCCTTCCTCTTTCCTTGCTTCCTTCCTCTCTCTTTTCTACCTTCCTTCTTTCTCCTTCCTCCCCTCTTTCTTTTCTCCCTCCCTTCCTTCTCATTCCTATCTCCTTCCTTCCTTCCTTCATTCCTTCTCGTCATTCCTCTCTCCTTCCTCCCTTCTCCTCCTTCCTGTCTTCTTCCTTCCTTCTTTCCTTCCTTCCTTCTCATTCCTGTCTCCTTCCTTCTTTCCTTCCTTCT